ATATTGAATTTCATTTTGATCTATTCTAATTTTGTAATCATGTAAAAATACCCGACAGTACGGATACTCTGAGATAATTTCATAACCTATGTCGTTCCTTTGAATAGCCATTAAAGGAACTGGGGGGAAACTCTGTGGTGATGGCGATAAGGAGCGCGCCTTGCGCCCTCCGATAAGTGTGGCAACCCTAGAGGAGAAGTTTCTTACGAGTAGCGAGCAGAGCGAAACAGGCAGGCTGTCGGGCAGTGTGCGCGAAGTTCCTAAATAAAGTTTAATTTTTATTGTGCACTATGTCTTGTTAATATTTATATTAATGCAGTAAGAACATAATCTGTGATATGGAATTTGAGGATTGGTGGTAAAACATAACCGGAAATTTCCATAAACTCTAGTTTCATCATCTATTTTGTCACTTGGATGGTGCTGCCACAGGGCCCACATCCTTCAGTGCTATAGAACCCACATCTACATCGACTGGAGAAGAAAAACTTGTTGGCTACAGAAAACTTTAACTGGTTCTCTTTGGATCCTCTGTTCCTCAAGTTAACAGAAAGATATTGAGCAAAGATCAATTATACTTGATATTTCTGTGGCCATAAAAATCATGTATGATTTCAGAATATTTAGCAGCTCATGATTCTGGTCTACTTTTAGGTTCAAGAAGACAGCAAATCGAACTCTTAGACTTTACATGAGCTTAGAAAAACACACTGATGAAGGTAGATATATTTTAATTTGAATTATTACATGCTTCTCTGGGTCAAAATCAAAACCAGCAAAAATTTCACAGGTGATCCTGAAATAGTTTTTGAAGCCATGAGAACATCACGATATCTAACTCAAAATTCACCCCACGTCATTAAGCCAGTAAACTGAATGGAATGTTATCTTTACACATCCTGGAAATATGATCCTCGGAATGATTGTAGAAGACATCAGAGAACTAGGACTGTGTCAATCGTTGAAAGCTAGATAATTTTTCAAGTAAAAGACTATACAAAACTTCAAAGCAACAGATTGCATCAATAAGATTTGATGAGATAATTTCAATATCTCTTCTCCTCCACTATTATGGACATGTAAAATATATTAATAACAGGCCCATCATTGCAACCAGATTTCCAAAGTTTCCTTTATGACTCCCAGGTTGTAGAACAGTGTGCCTAACTTATGACCGAAGCATTTAAAAAGGTGTGTGCCGTAGATGTAAGAGAAGGCTTGATTAGGGATGACCTTCCTATCATGATGCAGCATGCCAGAATTTTCCCCAGAAACTAACTTTAAGGCATATTCTTTTGAATAATAAATTAAAAATGGTTAATATATTTATCATTTGTTTACTAAAAATGAGAAAGTCAAATTATCAGAAATTATGAAATATTAATATTCCCATTTTTACAAAAAAAAAAAAAAAAAGTGTTGAGTTTTTTTGGGGGTAACAATTTGAAATTTTTTCTTTCAAACTTTCTAAACTTTTTCGAGACCCTCATGCCCTAAACTTCACAAAATTGCATTTTGTTAGTAATTATTAAAAAACTGACAGAAAACAACGAAATTTCATTACTTTTCAAAAAATGCTGAGTGCGATATGGGTGCGAAAGATACTTTTTTTTTTTATATGAAAAAAATTTTTTTTAAATTTTATTATTATTATTTTTTATAGCTGCATAGCATTCTGCATCAAAAAAAAAAAGGTTTTTTGGAGCCACTCTAGTGCACAGCTTAAAGAACTGATGAGAAAAAGTATGTTCTGTTTTTTATCTACAGATGACAAATTCTAACCTGAAATATGAAAGGAATTGGTAATAAATCTTTCCTTTGTATATGAGCAGGCTCTAATAAAAATGGAATTTGAGTTAAAAGAGGCATAAATATTGATTTCTGCACAAATCAAAAATGGATATATAGTGTAGGGAAAACATTCTATAGCCTTTTGTTATATTTTACACTATTGCAGCTGGAAATGTTTTTCATTTTATAATTAGGAGCAAATCTGATGAGGTCCATATAACAGCTAGTTATGTACATAGTAAAAATTTAAAAACATTAAGCACTGAAATAAATTGAGTTATTTAGGCATTTAAAAGCAAGGATCATAAACTAATTTAAGGTTTTTCAAGCCTATTTCTAATTTTTCTAATTTAAAGCAAAATAAATAATAATTAAAAAAAGAGCCTTCTAAAATTAAAATTTAAATCAAAGACATCATTTCAATATTTCCATTTCAAATAATTTCACTGATAATTTGCATGCAGTGTAACTTACATACACTAGTGTCTCAAACAAGTGATGAAATATTTTTAGTTCTCAAAAATGATATTAAAATTTTAAATGTGTTCAAGTGAAACTATAAAATAGTAATAGAATTCTTTGAATAGTTAGTAAACTATAAATTTGAAGTTAGTGTTTGTCTAGTCTTGTTTATGTAATAAATAATTTTTTTTCCAAAAATAAGTTATTCTGTTCAAAAATTAACCTTTTGCGCTTGAGGCGCTTTTCTGTCGGGTGAACCAGCAACTCGAGAGTAATCAGCCACTCCCGCTTACATCATGAGTTCCTTATTGTTAACTTAAAATAATTTTAGACACAATAAAACACTTTAAACTCGTATATTTTAACATTATACATATTCTTTAACTTAATGAAACATATGTATTAAACATTACGTTCTAAAATTTTGCTTCACATGATATTTTACAAAACAATCTCCAATATGCATCCTTGGCTTGTCGGGGCATATGTCACAGTAGTATACAGTTTGTCACCTTTGGGACGTTCTTTGGGAGCAAACCTTGCAATCTTTTTCTTGCCCCATCAAAATAATATGCAGCTTCCGATTTAGTCGGATCGCTTCAGAAATGCTGTGTGAAGTAGAAGCTGTGCTGGGTTGTTTTGTCGAAAGTCTCCTCTCAGTTGATCCACTAAAGTTTTCAAATATTGTAGGTTCTCTGCTTCTTTACTGATTTATAAAGAATGTATGAATTGATGGAGCAGATCTCCAAACCCCCAAAAAATAGTTTTCGCCACCATTTTACAGATTTTCTTAAAAAACAATATGTCGAAGCCAGTTGGTCAGCTCAATCAACACTGCTCATAAATTTGATGTAATTTACAATAACATTGGGCTTTTTTATAACGACTTCAATACCGCCTCGTAGAGTTCTTCTTACAGGAGTTATTCCCGCATTATTCCAAGTAGTCAAAGCCATCACAATCCTCTTGTCCTTCCACGCAAGAACCAAAATATTACCTTTACGATATACACATATGGTTCGATTCTCAAATTTTGGCTTTCATATTTCACATGGCAGGTGCTTTCTATTTGTCATGATCGTCCCAGTTAAGTGGCACTTTTGTTTGCGTAATTCTTCCGCCAATATGTAACTCGTATAATAATGGTCTGTGAACATGTGGTGACCCTGAACACCAAGAATTTTATTCTGTATCATTTTGTATAGATGTAGCGGTATTCTGGTTGATACTGGTAGATCGAGTCTTATCAAAGTCTCTGTTGTTAGAGATCCATAATATGGCAGAATAGCACAAATGAAGCCGGTATTTGAATCTGCGAGCGTATAAACCCGAATTCCCCATTTTGTAGGTTTCATTGGATTGTACGTAATGAATGATATGCGGCCTTTGAATTTGACAGTCGACTCATCCACACAAATCTGCTCTCCGGGTACAAAATAATTCAAGAACCTTTCATTTATATACTCGAGGAAACCAGATACTAACTGCAAACGGGTTCTAGGGTTTGTGTTTTCTAAGGGATGTCTTGAGGTGAAGTCTCCAAAATATTTGACAAAATCGGTCTCTCGTAAACGTGTCTGAGTAAAACAGAATATAACTAGTATCATTTTTCGACCAGTATTCTTGTATGTTTGCCAGTGGCATTGTCCCCATATTTATGATTGCCCCAATAAATGCCCAAAATTCGGTAACTGTTATATCGTACCATGATCGCCATATAGAATGGGATGATAAGGTCTTCCCTTCCACCTTCCTTGCAGCATTACTGTTAGTTTCCTGCACTATGTCAGTAACTAAATACTCGGTGAAAAATAATTTGGAAAAATCTATTGGTTCTTTTATGTGTGCAAATACGTGTAGTCCTACTTGTCTTTCACCGGATACAAACAGTATTCTTCTGGGGATTTCTTTGGATTCTGTGCACACTGTCTATTCTGAAGGTTCAGTCTTTTCTGTACAATCACTTTGGCTTCCAGATTCACTATCGATTATTCGAATTTTTTGTCTTCTTGCTCCTCTAACGTTGTCACTATCTTTATCACTTCCGTCTTCTTTCTCATGGGCAAGCTGTCTATGTAGTGATGTAATTTCGTTCGTTATTGCCGAAAAATTAAGCTCATCTTCGCTAGAAGTAACTTCTTCGTCGTGTTCCATACTTATTGGGCTCAGTAACTTTGAAAGAAATACTGTGATCGGCAAGAAGGTTCAGTTCGAACTGATGTCGAAGACAGAGTCCTACTGGCAGTCGCAAGTATTTTTGAAATAAGACATTTAATTGCATAAGCATTGCAAAGACAACCTTTAGTTGAGATAAGACATCCTTATAGCTATTCAGGCACCTCATAATATGATCTACAAAAGGCCAACAAGATCTCTCAAGCGATATTCCTTAGGTCAAACACAAATAAACACATCGATTCGAACGGTGCCTCTTAGGCACCGTGCGAGTTATCGCATCACATGCAATGGTGCCTGAGAGGCACCGCTCAAATGCAAAGGGTTAACATTTTGTCTTTAAAATGGGAAAATTATGTCACAAAAGTATTTGGATGTCATTTAAACTTCAAGCAAAATCATCTGTGATACATGCAGTATGTGCATTCATGGCATTATTTTGCATCAAAACACAACAAATAATATTTGAAAAATTATCTCCTTGAATTCTTCAACACTCTGATAAAGATTACAGTTGCATCAAAAAGTTTGAAAAAAAAAAAATCTCAAAGCTTTTATAGAGAACAACCAAATAGTAAAATATATTTTTAATTTCATAAACAAAAATTAATAATACATACATTTCAAATGCATAAGCATCAAAAATACTTTCTTTTTGTCAACATTTTATCACAAGTCTTTTATAATAGATATTCGGTGAGAAATGTCGATAAATGATAATTTCCTCAATTTTTAAATATTAAGGAAAATGAAACAAGCAAATAAGACCCTGAATTCAACTCACAAAATAAATTAATTTTCAATGTAGGACTTACAAATTCCAGACCTGCCAACATTACATGTGAAAAAAATTATAAGCGAGACAAAATTTAAATTACTAAAGTATAGTTTGTTACTTTAAAACAAACATTTTAAGGTCATAGCAACCCTCTCTTCATTTGTAATCATAATGTATCATATTTTTATCGTCACTCTACACAGGAACTTATGGGATTTTAATAAATTACTGGATTTGACCTTTTTTCCCTAGCAGTCACTGCCATTGTTTTGAGTCATGGTGGAAGCAAGGAGAAAAACAGCCTATTCTAAAGTAATAGACTATAGTATAGGCTAAGATTGACAAAATCATTACTTAACCACATATACTGCTGTTGTATGAATTTAAGAACTGCTAAGACAGGAGGAAAGTGAGATTTTTTTTTAATCAAAAAGAATTTACTTATTCAAACATAATAGTGACTAGGTAAAGGAAATGTGTACTATTTTTAGTAGTTTCAAATACATCTCAAATAGAGTAGCTTTTCGTATTTTAGCATTTATGCTTAATATCTGAGGCTGAAAAGCTTTAGACATTCTCAATGGAATACCACTTTTAACTGAAAATACATGTAAAAACTGAAGAAAATTAAAACTAATGAAGAAAAGCTAACCATACATATACGAGACTAAGTACATATGACTTATTCTGTGACAAAAATACAGTTCACTCTTCTTTTATGCAATTTTCGTTTGAACGTTTTATTTACTTTTTTAATAATGCAATTTTTCCTAAATATTTTTTTATAATTTCTTCTAAACACATGCATAAAGAAACTTACTCTCCAAAAAAAGATATGCATGTGCAATTTTTATGTAAACACATTTCACATTTAAATGCATTCTGTTACATTTAACATTCAAATTATTAACAGAAGAAATATTTTCAAAGTCATATTGAAACTGAAAATACTTTATATGTATCCACTTAAGGTGAAATGCATTATGAAGGAAAACCATGCAGTAGTAAATGGTATTGAGAATATATGCCTAACAGCAGGACACACACTTTTCACCTGCAAGGGAACCTTAAATCATTTCAAAAACTGAATCATTATCATTTCAATATCCTATTCAGTATTAAATAAAGGAATATAACCAGACAAAATGGCCATCATAATTTTATGACATCAAATATAATCTTCAGTTCTACACTATAAATGTTGGAAAGTCTGAAATTTTTGTATACAATGCAGTTAGGAACCTTTCATGATTAGATTAAATCATAAAAATATAAATAAAATATCAAATAATATTTATAAAATACTTTTGCTCAAACATTTCACACAATTTTCAAGTAGCAGCTACAAAATTAATAATAAGACAGCATTTAAAGTCCAAATAGGTCCAATATGCAGGTTGGTCCATTACTGAAGAAAAATGCATTTATTTTCATGCATAGTTGGAAAATCTGAAAATAAAAATTTTTAGAAATCCTAGTTGAATATCACATTTGCGAAAAGTTCAAAAACTTCACATATTTAACACAGTTTTTTTAAAATAAAAGAGCAACAAGAGAAGCAACAGTTATAATCTTCATTCAATGACTGTAAAAAATATATGATATATAGCACAAAAACTGCATCACTGCATTTTATAATAGTTACCCATAAAATTTTTTTTTCACACCATGACTATATTAACTGTTTAAATACTAAAGGTTTTGTTATGCTGTATAATTAAGATACTACAATAGTAAAAATTTCTTCTTTTCTGTTCATTAACCCAACAAAGGGATCTTATTTCTCAAATGATATCATTGCTAGCATTTTTTTAGAAAAGTTTTCTACAAAAGAATTTTGTTACAAAGAGGATTAACTAATCATAATTCCTGAGTTATGACCAACTACCCCATGCAGACCAAATGACATCATCCCCAGATTTTTTTAAAAAGAAGGCTTTCACAAAAGTATCTTATCACAAAGAGGCTGTGCTGTCTACAGGAGAAGTGAGGGAAAAGCCCAAATAACTTGTCATAATTTCCAAATTATGATCAACTACTTTTTGCAGACTAGCATTTTTCAGTGAAATTATAGAAGACATGGTATAAAGACCTAAACCCAGCAAAGAAGCTTTTAAATGATACCATCACTATCTTTTTTAAAGCTTACCACAAAAGAATTCTATCAGAGGATATCCCAACTGTAGAACAGATATAATTAGTAGTAATTTCGCAATTATGGCAAACTGTTCCTTGCAAATCAGATGACATCATCCCTAGTTTTTCTAAAAGAAACCTCTCCCCCCAAAAAAAAATCCTACTGCAAAGAAGACAGAAGAAGTAAGGAAAAGCCCAATTAATTGGTCATAATTTCTGAATTATGATCAGCTCGATCTCGGACAGCTGACCCTTTCTAGACTATCAACCAGCTCAGGTGTTTATGCCATGACAGGGTTAGGATAAACAAACTAAAAATAAATAAATAAAATAATATATTTCTTCGATATTAAGAAGCATAAACCCCCAAACGCTTCCATAAAAACCGGACGTGCCTTAAAATTAACAGTGTCCTAAAAATTCCACTATTTTCCAAATTTTTTCCTACTTTCCGGCAGTTAGTTTTATATGTTTTGTTTACTTAAAAATATTACATACCAGTGTTTCCATTATCTTAGATATGAAATTATAAAGAGATTGCTCAGAAGAATCAAACCTCTAAAAATGAAGAAGAATGATATTAACATGTGAATACTGACGGCTTAGAAAGATTTGGATTCTCACATGGGTTTAAATGTAATAAATAATATATCTAGTGATGAAGCGGTATTAATGGTTATTGATAAAGTGATTTCTATCTTGATAAAATATTTTTATGTACATTTTAACGCCTCATTTCTTTCTTTTTTATTTAAAGTTTTTAAAATTAGTGGTACTGAAACTGAAAAGTTCAATTTTTCAATAGCATACAATGATACTGTGTTAAAAATGAAGAAATACAGTACAGATTTCTGCCACTTTATCAAAGTAGAGGATTCCTGTGAAATCTTTCATACACTGAAATGGCAAAAAGCAAATAAGCAATTACTATTCATTTATGTAGAAAAGAAGGTTCTTTCTGTTTATCAGCATATCTCTGAAAATTATTCATAATGTAATGCACTACTTCGATAAATTAGGCAACACATGGCATTGCCAAAATGTATTTTGCATGTGAGAACATGCAGCTGAAAATTGTAAAGTTCCAGCTTCACAAGTCATTTTTCTGATTACTGCTGGTTTTTACATTCAGTAAATTTTTTTTTTTTTTCATTGTCAGGAATCATAACAAGACTGTGGAGTTTGCCAGCTGACAAAAATGAAAACATTGCATTTATTCAGAAATACGGTGTTTTGTCCAACAGTAGTGAAATATTCCCATTCCACAAAGTTGTACTCTTAAACGATCAAATTTTATGGACTGAAATTTGTACACAATGCTGACTTTAGACAATGCAATTTTTTTTTCGTGTGTGTGTGTGTGTGTGCGCGAATAAATCACTGTGTACATGAAAAAAACAATAGAAAAAATACATGAGGACTTCTTAGAAAAGGCAAATGTTTTAAATTTAATTGGTTGTCTTTCATGAAATTCTTAGCTTGCTGCCATCTTCAAAATGGCTGCTGCTTTTTCACATATAAGCTTGGTGAAATATAAGTTGGCAACGAATTGGTGACGTTCTGGAGGTGGAAGCAGATAGGCAGAAAGTACCAGGGAATAAAATAAATAAATAAATAAAGTTTTCTCAAATATAAAAAAAAAAAAAATTGTCACATTTTACAAAAATGGGCCTTAAAAATCTAAAATAACAAAAGGAAATAATGTTATAAACGTATAAACCAAGGGTTCTCAACCGGTGGTACGCAACAGAAAATAGTGGTACACAAAGATGCAAAGTATTTTAAACTATTAAATTCCAAAATTAAAACTCCAACATCCTGATTGCGTTTTTTCTATAACACTCGTAAATTTATGCGATCTGAGCTTTGTTTAAGAGTGGTGGTGGTAGTAGTACTTTGTAGTAGTAGTACTAAAGGTTTTCAGTTTTTGTTTAGATGGTCTGCGTTAGTCAAAAGGTTGAGAACCGCTGGTATAGACCATATAAATAGAAATAAACATGTCACATTGTTTTGCCTTCCAAAATTGGAAAAGCAGGAAGCAAATTTTAGAAGGTGTAATAAATAAAGTGTCAATCATTATAGATTCAACAGTGGGAAATATAAAGCCTATGTTATAGGAAAAGAAAGGATAAAGAATACTTTTTAATACCTTATCCACATTTATATAAATCAGATTATCATATCTACAGTTTCTGTCTGGTTCAATGTTGAAATCATAATGCTTGAAGTATGATATGAAAGATTGAATGAAATGTTTGAAAAGTTAAATAGTCTTGATTGTCATGACTTTTTCTACAGCAATCGGACACTTTGCAAAAAATACAGGGTTTCTCAATATTCAATGAGACAAAAAGAATAGCATAGTACAAATTCTGTAACTGATTTATTAAACTGAAACATATTAATTCTGAAACTACAATTACACAAGTTTTATCTAGCTACAGTGAAAAATCTTCATATTATGAAATTGCCGCTAAAGGCACTGTTAATCAAATTGCCACCGTCCCTGCAAGAGAAAGAATACTTATTTTGGAATATGCCAAAACATTATCACTTATCATTGTCATTCAAAGACATTTGTACATGAAATTCAGTAAAGAACCAACACATCAGCCCACCAGTGGCTGAGCGATAAAGTCGCTGAACACTGGTAGTTCGGTTCGAGGTTCAAATCCCGTGAATGGGTTGGCTGCATGGAAGTTTCCATGGTTTTCCCCAATGTGTATATAAGCCAGTTTCCCTTAAAAAGTCTTCCACGAAGGCATACATTCCCTTAGGCAGATAGCCCTCGAGGCTTAACCGTAATTATATAAACTAAACCAACACATCAAAAGGTAACTGAATGGTGAGTCAAGCAGTTTTAGGACATGGGCTACTTGTGCAGGAAAACCAGTCCAGGATAAACAGCAGCCAATACCAAAGTGGGTGAAAATTTTGCAAAACGTTTCTATGAAGTGCTATGAAATCAACACATCATGCAAATTTTGAACTCAATGTGCTTCATGTAACAGTGTGGTCTCTGTTATGGAAATGTCTACAATTCTGGCCATTACACCTTTCAGATGGTGCAGGCGTCAAAACCTTCCAATAAACCACTGCGTAAAGCTTTCGGTAAGAATTTGAAAGATAACCTGGAGGTGGATGGTTTCATGAACAGACTTGTGTTTATGGCTGAAGCCACTTTTCACGTTTCTGGCAAAGTTAATTACCATAATTTACAATTTTAGGGCGCTAGAACCTGAACAATAGTCTACCGCTTTGTTGGATTGGCCATGCTGGGTCAAACAATATGCCACTGAGATCTCCCAGATCAAATCCCTTTGATTTTTCCCTATGAGGTTTTGTTAAAAACAAAAAGTGTTTGTGCCTCCATTTCTCCAGGACTTACAACAAGTGAAGTAGTGTGGATAACTGAAGTGCTTGAATCATTAACAAAGGATATTCTATTCTGAGTGTGGCAGGCACTGGAATACCACATCCATATTTTCTGTGTCACCAGAGGGGGACATATAGAACATCTATAGAAACTTGGATAACTATAGTTTCATGTAAATTTGAATTATCAAAATTAAGTAATTACAGTATTTCCAGGTAAGCTTTTTTTCCCCTCCCATTCAACATGAAACATCCTATATCCTGTATCTTAAACTTTTATGCTATACCATAATTAATTGTACTTTTCTATAACTACTGCATAAAATGAAGGCTGAACTACAGTTTTGATTTTATACCTTTTCTTCATAAAAGCAAAAAAATCATCTCTGAATTTCTTTTATTGCTAAAAAATCTAATAAAATTAGATTACTTAATTTAGGTCTTTCATTAAAACAAAGTTTTGCAAAGTGAACATTCATAAAGCAAGGAATACCTGCATATGAATAAAAAAGCATGATAATTAACAATATAAATTTATGCTTAATAAATAATTAACATGATTAATATAGACAAGATATTTATAAGTTATCATAAACATTAGAAATATTTATAATTTATATCCTTTTCTAAATTATATAAATTACAAATATTTATATTCAAATTAATTCATATCTAATTTTTATACAGAAAAAAATTTCATCAGAGACACATACAGACAATTAAATTCACATATAAATTACTGGAAAAATTTTATAATTACCTTAGTAATATATGTTCTCAAAGCCTCAAGAATCACCATCTATTTCTTGTTTAATCACTATCTGAATAACATAATCAGATGTTTAGATGTACTGAGAATTTTAAATCAAACAAAATATCAAATATGTATAATTTATATTTGATCAAACACAAGTCAAAACAAATATGAACAGCCACTTGCTGAAACTGTTTAACAAAAATAAAGTTCAAAGGGATCAAATCTAACTTATTATATACTCAAATGCTAAAAGTCATAGGGAAGCAGCATGCAAAATTTCAGGTGGCACTTGCCTTGCATAAATTTTGTTAAATACTCAGAGTATAATTGACTGTAATCTCGTTGAGTCTTATGAAATAGTTTTCAACATGATTAAAGTATGCTGATGTGAACTATCAAATTTTTTTAAACATGGAACATTAGTGAAGCTTGATGAATGCAATATTCAATTTATGAATTGTTTAGACAAACAATATTCTTCAAGCCATGGTATCACATGTATCTTGGCAATACCTCACAAAAACTGTTATTACCTGTTATGGAGAGTGCAACATGGCTGACAGCGGGTCCTTACTGACTGTGACCAGCAATGTTTAAATTAGCATTAGCAGTGCCAACATATCAGCTACACTGCATATAATAAAATCCACATTCATTACAACAAGCAACAATATCTTAAAAATCAATACAGTAATATTTAATAGTATCAGGTTTTAATGAAAGCTTCCTGTCACTACAAATATCATCTGTGCAAACGGTTTACGTTGGCTTACTACTATATAATTTTCAAAACCTAAGGTGGACAAATTTCTGTACATTTATATGTTACATTACTTGCTATATTTAATTCCAGGACTTGTTTGTACTGTAGTATACAAATAATAATAATAATGAAAACCTTCTATATCAGCCTGAATTTTCTTCAAACTTGCATTTAACTTAACATTACTTTTCTTTAATACTGTAGTTAATTCTTTGCAATTAATGAAATTAATTCATGAAAATGTAAATTTTATTAGTGCAGAACATTTAAAGGCTCCTAGTGTCTACTTACAGAATACTTTCTAAAAGAACAGGATTACTGGATTGTGGCAAAGCATATCCATATTTGTTATTCATAATTTTATGAAATTTTTTATTTTAACTGATAGAAGCAAGATTTAATTACATCCCTAATGAAGCTCATTATTATTATTTCTACTGCCGATTAAAAGTAATTACATACGGTGTTACTATTTGTCTATTCAAGTTTATCTGTGTTTTCCTTTCTTGTCTTTTCTGATTACCATCACATTTGGAATAATTTATATGGACACGACTAAGAGCTGTCTCTTAAGGAGTAATGGCTTGAATATCTGTACTGTTAATGTATCTTTAAAGAACTGTTCCTGTTCAGTGAAAAAAATGATGGTTCAAGCTAATGTTATGCTTCAAGCTAATGTTAAATTTCAAGCTAGTCCTGATTTTCCCTCCGGTTAGCTATGCATCAGTTTTTGTGGTCATGATTAAAAAGTGAATTAGCACCTTCTCTAATCAAACTGTCATCTAAGAGCAAGTAATCCACAACTAAATAAATCGTCACATTGAGAGTCAACAGGATTCTTATGATCCTGTCTTGACAGCAATTGGATTTCAATACAGAATTCAAGTAAATATGCCTGTTTATCTAGAAGTCCGAAAGTTCTAAAGCCTAGTGAAAGCGCATTGTGGAATTACTACTGCAGATCAGAGCCAAGTCAGTTTTGAAATTATATCGACCCCTACTTTAATATTTAGAACTGAAATTTTTATTTTATCATAGATCTGCTCTGAATGCTTAAAATGCAACCTAGTACCAGCTATTCAAAATTAATCCAGCGTCTTTTTATAATAAATTGATTTAATGAGTGTGTTCAAAAATTCAGTGTACCATTGTTCCAAATCATTCCAGTGCTTTTGAAGGTCATTAAAGTTATTGTTTAAACAATGTGCTTCAAGTTTATGTGCAATTAATTATTTTCACTCTTTTTTATTAAGGTTATGTTCATCAATCGAAAATCTTAAACAGTGCTTTGGATTTTAAAAATTTATGAAGTGTTTTTATGAATAAAGTAAGCTTTTAATTAGTGCACTTAGAAATATCATACAGAAAATAATCATTATTATTACAGTCAAAAGTCGTTAATTCAGACACCCATAATTCGGAATGATCTATAATCCGGAATGAAACTTTCCGCGCATGCGCCACGTTGACACATGCGCATAGGTGTTTACGGGTGCGCGTAAGACCTTTTACAACTGTGCATATGAGTGTGCGCAAGCGCAGAATACATTTTCGCGTGCACATTTTATGTATAACGGACGGTATAAGCTAAAATTATCTAATTATCGATTTCAGTTAATGTTGATGATTGCGTTGTTCCTTAATTTTCGAATTGGATCCGGCTTATTATTTTTTGCAGAGTGTAAGAGCAATATTATAAAAGTAAACTTGAACTTTCGATTATGTCAAATAGAATTTCCGATTCTGGAGCTCCCAAAGGATTGTACAAAACGAAAGTATGTTTCGATGTCCATCAAACAAAAAGTGGAATTGCTGCAAAAAATGGATAAAGACTTGAAGAATGTGACAGAGAGGTTAGTGAAAACGAAAAAATTTCGATTGACAAGTTAGTCGGTATTCTCGGCACAGCAATTAACGGGACTTGAACAGTGGAACTTTGTAACTGAACAAAAAATTATGTCTGTTTATAAAATTAAAGATAAAGTATTATCACATAAAATGAAGCAACTTACATTGAAAGAAATGTTTATTAAAGTAAACAAATAAATATTAAGCTTTTTTTTTTTTTGTAAATTTTGATACCCTTTAGATCATAATTGTTCTTTATTTCATAAATTACGGTTTCATATTTTTAATTTTAGAATTTCTGCATGCCATCTTACGAGATTTAAACTGATGATCTATAATCAGGAAAAATCGATAATCCGGAATCGCCGAAGTCCCGACGAGTCCGGGGATTAACGACTTTTGACTGTATATTGAAAATTTATATATGAAATGCTGTTTTCTTATTTATATTGGATTTTAAATATTTAGTGTTATTTTATAAAAATGATTGAAGTTTATTATATCAACATATTTAACTTTTCATCATTATGTTGGATAAAAATTAAATAATAAATTTTAAGATTTGTAATTCTTTTATTTGGGAAAGGTTATTAACTCATTTAGCATGAGTGTGCCATATATGCATTGCCAGCAAACGTTATCTCATGGCCTAATGTATCACATATGAATCACCATTTAATTCATCCTATGGCCAGACGTACCACATATGAATTTTTAGATATAACATTTAATTAGTATTTTTTGTTGCCACTAGATGTACATATATGTCTGCTATGGTGGAATTTATCAAAAGTAAAGTATGTTGAACTTCATTTCTGTGCAATGGGTTTTTTTTTTTTTATTTTTTTATTTTATTTTGGAATGAGATTGAGATTTGTGGGTGTTGAGCCATGTAATGGCTCTTAAACTGCACCAGTCGATATAAACAAATGCATGCGCTCTCAATGCTTCAGAATACTTTTTTTTTGGGGGGGGGTGATATAACGCTGTAGATGTTTTATCATTTCAGAGATTTTTTTTCTAGCACTAAGACAGACATTTTGTATGATTTAGCAAAATATTTTTACACCTACATGGCAAAACAAAAATAGTATTTAACAGAAGAAGAGTATACACAAATGATAAACGAGCTTTTTTCTCACACTGATTGACAGTGATAATATTTTTGCAGCATTGGAAAGTGATAGTTATAGTGATTCTAAAATGCACATATTTATTTGCGTATATCAAAAATCACACATACTGGTTTTTCATGAAAGAGATTTCTAACAATTTTTATTTTTATTAATGTGTAACATTAAATAAAATCTATGATTAAATAAAATCTGAACTGTTTGCACAGACAATATTTGTGGTGGTGGGAAACTTTCATTAAAACCTGATATTAACTTTAACAGAATTTCATACTATGTACTAAAAATATTTAAATTTCATACTGATTATAACACTTTGTTTTTACAAGAGATTATCAATTGTTACATCTGTATTGTGATCTTCAAGATGCCTTTCAAGAACTCTGATCATTTTTAATTCTTTCATGGAAAAATTTATACTCCAAATTCAGGATAATTTCCATACTATTTGGATAAAATGTTTCAAGAACTTGAAAACATTTTCATTACAGGATTTACAATTAGACTCTAAATTTAATTTACAGGAGTGTATTTTGTTCTAGTGTTTTAAAATTATGCCTTGAAGTCATTTATTTGCTTTTCCATTGAAACTGTAAATATTGTGTATAAGTTTCCATCCTTTGTTAATTCTCTACTGATTTTTTTCTCAGAAGGCTTTTCTGTCGCCAAGACATTTTCTCCTTGAAGGATTGGGGAGGTAAAACACTTTTAAATTCCTAATTTAAAAAAAATACAAATCCTTTCAAAGGATCTACATTTTCCCTGCAGTAACTGCAATGCAAACAAAATACTTGCCCAATCGTTATGCAGGTTTCAAACAAAATGCTCTGAGATAATAAATACTCCATGATATATGCACTCCCTTTTGCTGCTTGTTTATGCTTAGGAAAGCGATATGTTTCACTTCCACAGTGTTGCATCATTCAAGGATATGTTCTAAGAAATTAATAAATTATGTGTTGAACTCAGAATGTTTGTCTGCAATTCATCATTCATCTACACACAAGCTATCTGCTATCTCCGTTGCCACTGTGACTGCTATGAAAATAGGTTCATCTTCCGCCAGAATTACAACATCACATACACACATATACATATATATATGTGTAAGATATAACAAAATATGATAGCTGCTTTAAAAAATAATTGGCAACCTCAAAATTAACATTCTTGATCTGGTGATCTCCCGCTGGGTTCATCTTTTCTCCCAAGTTCTAGATTTTTCTAAGTTATGTAATGTTTTAATGCAACTACCTCTTGTCCAATCAAATTAATTGTAAACCAAAACTCAGAACTGAAGCTTCTCTGACTCCCTCCTTT